GCCTCTAGGGACCTCAAAACAAATAAGTAAATCGGTCCCGGGTCCAGGTCTTACCATGATTACTACGGTAAATAGCCTATTCCCTATTATGGGAAATCAACAACGCTAAAAACAACGTATGACATTTTCTAGCTCAGTGAATCGTCGTAACAGGTGTTCGACGCTGACATACCTAGTGACACGGAGAACAACAATACAAAGATCAGCTGACTGCCATGCCGTCTGGATCGAGTTTACAGTTGCGTTAGATTTCTTAATAACTATATTTCGCTATTTGCTGTAAAACATAACAAGGCCTTAGCGTGTTTTAATTAGTAAGATTATTTCTTTCTTAGTATTCCCTTTCTTTATTACCACTTCATTTAAAATTTTTAGCAGTTATTAATGTTTTTATTTTGCAAATAATAAAATAATTAGGTTAGACAATGAACTGTTTAGTTTGATTTGTCCAGTCTACAAAATATACACATACGGTTATAAATATACATAGTTATATGAGTTTAAAACATTAAACTAGGCCTCTAAAAGAATTATCAAATAATTATTGACATTAAAAACTTCAACTTAGCATTTATTGTATAGAAAACCAGATGTAAATAATGTGTAAACACTATACCAAAAATTTATAAGAGTTAAGCAGTAAAAAGCAATGGCTATAAAAATATATTAATCACAAATGCACACAGTATGTGGTAATTTTAAAGACTAAATAGAATTGAAAAGGTATTTACCTTTTTCCAGGCATTGCACTGTCTTCAAGCTTGCCTTAGACATCTTATCACTTGACACACGCATACACTTATCACAAATACTACACGAAATATATAATCTTATAAGAACACCACACGGAGTAGACAATGAATCAACGAACACTGCATGCAGCAACACGAAAGTACAACGGACCGTTCAGCGACACGAATAACACAACAATGAACCAATAAGAAACTTAACACATCATGTGAATAAAGGATCAGCTGATCAGCTGTTATCTACGTAAGAATAAATTGGCTTTAGGTTAAACATAAGCCAGCATTAACATATACTGTATACGATGATAATTGTGCTTTATTTTCTTGAAATTATTATTTATATACAGGTAAAATTATAAAGATGCATTTACTTTAATTATTGAAGCAGTGTTAGTATTAACTATTATTAGTATCACTTTTATAACACCTAAATTTACCTATTTTACTGAATATGTCACCGTTATTAAATGCAATTTATCATCATATTACATACTATTGTGTTAACACAGTATATAAAAAGAATATATAAAAAACATATCTTTATAAACCATTAAGGGAGTGAGATGTTTTTATGCGTTAAGAGTGAGATATCTCCCTTGCATTATAGCTATTTACATTACAAGTGTAGTAAGAGCGTTTTTACATCACGCAGGTGAATTTGTGCAACGAGCGAAGGCGAGTTGCATAATTCACCGAAGTGATGTAAACACGCTCTTGCGTAACGTGTAACGTACAAGATTTTACCTGACCCGACAATATACAGTGGGTTAGGTACAATATTTTTCATTATCCATTTCACTCATCTTCTAACAGTAATGTTCATTTACAAACAAAAGCTAGGTTAGGAAAATTCTTCAAAGCATATCAATAAAATTCAAACACAGCTGATTTCTAGCGTTGAACGTCGTTGGCTCCATAGAGGTATATTTTTAAAGTTATCCACTCAATGTTATTTAAATGGGTTTCATTACATCACCGAGTGAGTTTTTTTCAACTTTACATCACTCGAGAAGTAAGGAAGTTGTATACATCACGCTTGGGATAGGGAAGTTTAACATGGCGGGTTAGGTAAAAATATTTTCATATATCTATAGCCTTCTACTGACTATTAGCCTTTCAATTGTTGATAGCGGTATGACCTAGGGTATGACAGATCATTTCCCATAACAATGATACAGTTTTTAATTGTTTTGAGTGTAACATTTTCCGTTAGAATGTTCCTTTTTATGTGTCTATGAACTAAATATGAATCGACGACCTTCTGATAAAGTGATCAAGACATCCTTTGACTAGTTGAAATCCTTGGGGACTTCTTGAAAGTCGAAAATAGATAATATATGTACTAAAATATATAATATGTGAAAAGATACAAAGATAGTGGTTTTCCTCACTATTTTATCTAAAAAAAAAAGGTCCTGAATTGTAATCTGCATTATTATTTAAATATCGCAAATTAATAATTTTCATCTTTATATAGTAAAGATAGTGTTTCTTCAATATTTTAAAACACTATTGATAAGGCACAACAATATTTCTTAAGTTTAAAACAGCTGATGTTTGTTTTGTTAATGATTTATTTTGAGTTATTTGTGGTTTGATTTGAAGGAGATTTGTGTGCGTTAAAAAAAGTTTGTTTATTGAAATCAAATAATTAGTAGTTTTTAATTCAAGATTTAAATAAAAAATGGCAAAAAAGAAGAAGAAAAGTAAATAAGGGAGACGAAGGTGAATCAAGTATATGAGAGTGTTATTCGAAAAATTGGTAAGAATATCTTATATTAGCCTACACAAGATTTAAAATTAAGACAAAACTATTGGTTTCCACTAAGTTACTTGATTTAAAATGTTTATCAAATGGAGTGGTACGGTTGAATTTTGTTTCTAAAAGCGTTGGCGGATGTGTTATTGTTTTATACAACAGATGTAAATATAAAATGTTTCTATTTCAAGTCCTCTACTTCAGCTAGGTAGTGAATAATAATTTAAAGTGATTTTGTCTTGACGTTACCAGTACTTACTTAGAGCTATATACATCGACCTGCTAAAACATCTTCCAAAAATTTTAATTACTGGAGTACAGAGACAACGTTTCTTCTGAACATCCAATTCAACCGATTCTAACACCATATTTTACATATCCCAGGAATAATTTATTCCCAGTGGAATAGTTGCTAAGAAGTTAAATGAAACAGGTGGAAGTTGAAAGGAGGTTTACAAAGGAAGCCAGAATTTATAGCTTCCTCTCAATTAGCTACAGCTTTGTTTCTTGGCTTTAATCTCTGCAAATCGAGTTTGTACATTTCCTTCGTTATTTACTTTGTTTCTTGTTTGAAATCCTGAATACACTTACAATGTGTTTGAATTCTAAACTTCCACTGTGCTTTCATCTGAAGTCATTGTTTTCTTTGTGGTGAATTCCATTTATGATGTTTTATAGGGAAATTGTTTTTAATCGTTTGCTTTGTGTGAAGAAAAGTGCTGTATGATACAATTTCAGGGTATTTTATGAACTCCTTTTAAATTTTGGGTCAAGCTATAATTAGATGGTTTGACAAAGTAAATCTACTCAAAGTTACCTTAATATCTTTATTTGTTCCCTTTTAGAAGGGTTTCAATATGTCGAAGCATGAGTGTGTACCACAGTGGATTTGATTTAGGACATAGTACATTAGTTTGTAAACAAAAATAACCAATTATTCAAGCATCATAGGGTGAGTGCTAAAAGTATGCCTTAAGAGTACCGGTAATAGCTAGTGCTGCTACTTATTCATGGCACAAACTAGTTTTGAGATATATACAAATGTTTTTGAATAAACAGCCTACTGTGTTCGTCAAAATGTTTAGTTTAACTTTTGGGTAGATTTATCCCATTTTAAGTCCCCCTGAATTTAAAAAAGTGGTTTTCCACTGAACCTGTTATCCAATTTTTATGAAATATGGTTTGTATGTACCAATCTATGGTATCTCCAGGCATTTTTCTTTAATTTGTTTTTTTTTATTTGTAATAGTAATTTTTTTATAAAAACCATTAAAGATCTTATAGAATAACACTTTTTTTTTTAGTGCTTGAACATTTTGATAAAAAAAAACTTATAACCCCCATTAAGTTATTCCAACTTTTGTGGTTTGCCCATAAAATATCATAATCACTCCCACCACATACCCATGATAAGGGTTGTTGACAAGCAAGTGAAAGAAGGTATTTATTTGTCAGTTTTCTAAATTTGATATAAAAATAATTTTCCTTTAAAAAAAATGGCTTGATCGTGTAGGGCTATATACATTTGTATGAGTATGTAAACCAGCAAGGTTAGGTCATGGGGTTTTGAAATTTTTAAAAAAGTAGTTTTTCAGTTACATAAAAACTTCTACTTTTGCACTAATATAACAAACAACTAATTAGTGTGTTTTCATCACTTTGATGGACTCGTTTATACTTTTCCGTACTTGTTTTTTTTCACTAGGCCTATGTGTCGGTAGAAAATAATTTTGGTGACTAAATCAAATCTAATCAATATCGTGTGACTAATCGTCACACAATAAATCTCCAAACACTAAAACATAAACCATTTGTTTAATATACAAAAATGAAAAAACACTATGTAAATAAAACTTGTCTCAGTTCGAACCAAGCCTGGTCCGTGATCAGTCTAAGGTTGTAATACTGGTCAAGATCCTCCTCTGACCACCCGAGTTTGCGGAAATCTTCGTCGTTGATCCTCGTCTGGAGGAACTTAGGACCTCCTCCATCATAAAGCCGCTGCGTCTCTTTCAACATGGCCGTGTCATTGTCCTCCACCAGCTTCTGAATTCGGAACATTGTCGTCTGATAAAGCTTGACGAGTTTAAGAACGCGTTTGCACTCGCCGACTTTCGGATGTCTTAGCATCCTTGTGATTTTCTCATCCAGATCTTGGAACATGGTTTTATTGTTGACAGTATCGGTCTTATTCGCTATCACAACGACACATATGCACAACAGATAGATGCATTTAGAACAAAACATATTAAATCATTTTAGGGTAATATTTGCTATGATAGACCTAACCTAGCTTCATGATTATTTAGCATGTCTCTTTGCTTCACTAATATTTCTCACTCGCTCAATTGATGGATGATTGTCGCACTATGTTTACTAACACTCCACAACTCTACATTACACATCGTACAAAACAATAAAGACACATTTAGAAACATTTAGTACAACAGTTTGATGCTATCACCCCTTATCAAGCCAGTGCGATTCAAGCAACTGAGATGATAAGAGCTCTAAGTTTGTTGGCTGTCACCGGATTAGTGAGTTGTAATGAAGAATTCAACACAAACGAGACTGAAACGACAACAAGATTGTGGAAAAGGAAGAAACCGGCTTATTGGGAGTTTCCGATCACCGATCCTACAGAGAAACCGGACCTGAGTGCGGAATATTGTAAGGATGTGAATATGGAACAGCTGGGTGAAAACATAACGGGTTTAATTACTAAGCCGATGCGTGGACAAGGCGATAATCTACTTACGATGATTGTTACTTACGTCTTAACATTGCACAGATTCATCAGGAAAACCAACACAACGGATGACATCGCGATCAGAATGGCCAAAGATCTCATCAAGACCAAAAGGCCGCAGTTTCTGGACATGGAATTAGACCTTGAAACTCTAAACAAGCGAGTGGGATTGGACAAATATGAATTCCAACATTTCAAGTGGGTGCTTGAAGACATCCAGAACTCTTGGGAGAAACTGAAAGGAATTCTGTTCGGAGAAGGAGATGAGCTGTGACCAATAAAGAGAATGTGTGTTCATTTTTATCACACTAAGTTAGTAATTTTTTTATAAAAACTATATAAAATTGTATCTATAGATATTTTACTTTGATTACAAACAAGTTTTTAAATTTTGTTTAACAGAAGATGTTTTCCAGCTGTGGGTTTTCAGCACAAAACTACATTAAACCGATGTAAGTGTACTCATTGGAATTGCAATTTAATTCTAACAGTAAGAATTATTTTAGGCATCTGGTGTGGGAAGTTTTATCTGAAAGTACAATAATTAGCAATACAATAATTAGATCTACCACTAAGACCATCCCCTGTTCTAAACTTCGGATCATTTAACTTCTGTTGTTTGATGAAGGATTTTCATAAAGGATTAAAAAAAAAGTATTGAGAAGGATTTTTGGACCAATAAAAGATGGAGATTGGAGACTTGTGGAGAATAAGAAAAAACAGGGAATTGAGGGATTTATATAAGTAACCAGATATTGTGGGAGTGGTTAAGAGTAGAAGGTTGAGGTGGCTGGGCCACATTCAACGCAGAGGTGAGAGGAAGATGATAAAACAAGTGAAAATAGGTACGCCAGAGGGAAGAATGAGAATTGAATGAGATGGATTGACGAGGTTACAAAGGACCTAAGGAGTATGGGAGCAGACCTGGAGCTGGCAGAAGACAGAGGATCCAGGAGGCACATGGTTGGCGAGACCGCCTTGGTTTTCAATGCCCACAGGAGTAAGAGTAAGAGTAAGTTGTTTGATGGTGTTGGATACCTCATTGTGATGGATGGGGTAACATACCTCATAGTAAGAGATGTAATCATTAATTTTTGTTCAGTGATTTGTAAGATTTTATGAGTGTATAACTTTACAAAGCGGTCCTAAGAAATTCACGGCCACACATCTTCATCCAACGGATTTTCTACGGAAACATAAAAACTCACTTGTTAAAGTTTGCTGATGAACCACAAACGTTGGATGACTAAGGAAAAACGACAATGGCTCCTCAAAAAAGTGGTGAAAATTAAATTTTGTAAATGCACATTATTGAGCCAGCACTGGCAAGACTAGCACCTATAGTATGTGTAAAGCAATTCTAAAACAATGATGTCATGAAATTTGCATTGTAAAAAGACCAATACAATGCCTTTCAAATAATACTAACCAGTTTTATATGCTTTTAAGTCAAACTGAAAAATAACTTCACCTAGGCTAAGCTCAGTAACAAGTTTGTACAATTGAAAACATAATTAAAAAATATTTTCAGTATTGCGTTTTCAAATGCTGCAAATGGTTTTGGCTTGTAAATCAATTACACTAAAGCTGCTTTATCTAGAATCCTTCTCCATTAAACTACAGAATAACATAATCATGAAGGTTTTCTTTAGTCTAAAACTTCATGGCAATCTTTGTCAAACTAATTCTATCCTAAACCAAATACAACTTAGTAACTAAATTTTAAATCAATTTGAATATTTACTAAAAATACCTTAGTTAATTGTTTGTTAAATTTGTGTTTAAAAAATCAAGCTTTTCAATATAGACAAACCTGAGTGAATCTTAACACTTTTCACATTACTCACCTTTATAAACTAATGTATCATTATGAATAGTAAATATTTTACAAACATGAATACTCTGAAAAATAATAATAATGCTTTAGTAATGACTCTGGTTCCCTTAGTTAATGATGTGAATGTTTCTGTTTATTATATTCTTTGTTGGCCTGCACCAATAATAAACAAAGTCACAACATTAATCCACCATAATGATTAAATATACTGATAACTGTTCAATAACAAATTACGCCTTCAAGAATTTCTAGCACAAATGATTCAAACATAACCTCACACATGTCAACTGAAATATCTTTTCTAAACAAACATATGTAAATCAAAACAATGAGATATGCTATATTTTTCATCGTTCACATAATATATCAAGTACAATGCGTAACAGATCTACCGAAGATAGATCGTTTTCTCACATCCGTTTATAAAACTCCGGATCCAAATCTAAAGCAGGAACTTCTAGATCGCCTTCAACTTTATCTTATAACACTGAGAAGATATAACACGATGGTGAGGAAAGGATGTACTGAAACGTGTGAAGAAGCTTCGGCCCTTGTGCATTCGGGAGGTCCGGAGTTTTTGAAGACTCATCCGTTCTATTCCGACGAGGAACAAGTCTTCAGGTACAAAATGAACTTCACGGACTACGTTTTTCAGGAGTACCAATACTACAGGTTGGACAATGAAAATGAGTGGAGTGAATTGAAGGATCAGATTGCCCATTTGGATAGAGATAAGGAACATGCTAAGAAGGATATGCTGTCACGTTTGGAGGGCATCGGAATAACACTGTCTGAAAATTGATGGACTTCTGTGTAAGTTTTAAGATTATTTTCATTTAGCATTCAACGAAGATCACTGCTTTAACATGTTCATAATTAAAAATAAACATTTTCTCAAAAAAATAATTTGTGATGTAAAGCTAATTTAAATATGAGTTGTGATAGAAAATTAAAGATGGAAGGTGTAAAAATTGGCATAACCAGTTATGAGTTACCTGTTACCTGGTACAACGAATGTGTAAATGATACTGGTAAAATGTTCTCTTAAAATTTTAAAGGTTGAAAATGTATTGAACTATGTAGGGCAACTAATGTGTTTTAAATTTATAATATCATGAAAAATGGTTGGGTCCTGTGTGTCCCGCAAACTCGGCACTCAATAACCCGGCAGTCTGGATAACTCGGCCATCACCTGGCTCAGAAAATTAGTGTTTTTTTGAGTCCGTGTTAAACATGGACACAAGCCAGCTCAAGTATAATCATTTGCAACTCATACTAAGGATTTGTTGTACTATATCTGATGACTTAATACTGACTTGTAATATAAATCTAATTAAAAAATACTATTAAAAAGCTTAAAAATTTTATTGTTCTTATTTCTAACTCTAGTTCCCGATAACCCGGCATTTCACAAACTCGGCACCCTTCCAGTCCACATTACGCCGAGTTTGCGGGACTCTACTGTAGTACTGATTTTCTACAAGCGGAGAGGACCGCCATTGGAATCGCTTCTCCATCTTCCACACCCTGCTTCTGTGCCTAGAAAAACCTAGCTTAATTTATTTAATTTACTATAAGTTAGCTGTGACAGGATTATTTTTTGTCATAGTTTCAGATGATGAATTATAATATCATTTATAAATGATATTCATCATATGCACATGGACATAGTCAAATAAATAGTTGAGATAAGATTTCAAAACATATTTTTAACTTTGGTTGTAATATTGACTAACTTCACTAGTGTGTGTCATTTTATTTTCTTCGACTGTTTATAACCAAATTTATTTCACTGGAAAGGATTTTCCATGTTGTATATACCATAGCATTTTTTCAGGAAGACAAAATAACATCGCCTCATAACACAAAAAAATACTGTTATGAATTTCAAACTCAAATTGTCTTTAAATACTAGCAGTCATAGATTATACTTTTCTAAATTTCAATATCTTATATGTTACTTTGTTTGTGCTGTGGGAGCTTCAAGAAAGAATCAAACTGTAAGCAATACTAAATGTTTAGAAGATTTAGACCGAAACATTTTCAACATAGTTCATGAAGCATGTAGTGATCAAATAAAACATTTACTATATTACATGGAAGTGTTTGCAAATGTTCTAAAATTATACAATAAACAAGTGTCCGAAGGAAATATGGAAATCAAAGATAAAGTTTCTAAGTTAATGAAAAAAGGAGGTCCTAATTACTTTTTTCAGAATAATCTTTTCTCCAGTGAAACAGAGTTTCGAAACAAAATAAATTTTTCTGACTTTGAGTATCAAGAATACTTATTTTTAAGAGCGATGGCAAAAGACCGTTGGGATAGTATTGTATTGAAGATGAAAAACATTACTTGTTAATATTGAAAGATTGAGCAATCCAATAAATGATAGATATTAAAATATTGCAATATAAGCTATTTGTCAAACTCATGTTATAGTAACAGTGGTGGTGGAAGTTACCCTCAATCTATTATAACCAGTTTACTACTTACCTGTTTCTATAATCATAACACAAAAAAAATGTATATATATATTTCAATACATCGAAGGGGTGTTGAAACGATAAGCAACACTGCTGTTTCATTTCTTCATATTACGTTTATTTAATTGAATGCAGACTTTCAGTAATTGGGACATCTTGGATTCCCAATTAGTCTGCATTAATGAAGTTTTGTAAATTGTCTATGATACACTTTAAGGGCTGCGAGTCACCCTCTGCAGGACTGAGTTATTTTAAAATGTTGCCAAAATAACGATCATATATTAAATACTTAGCATATTAAATAACCATAACTTCAGTAAGTTTAAAAACTAGTTTTGCTAGTTAATTAAATTTTTAATCAAGCAATATTTACATAACGTCGTGCATGTATACAATAATTGTGCTTTTTAATCCCGTGTCACAATATAAAATTTAAAGCAGTTTGCCAAAAGATTTTATAAAAATGGAAATGTTTAACCGCAATTTTATAATTGTGGTTATGAATCTATGCAAACCTAAGCGATATACAATTTAATAACCAAGAAACTTATAAAGGAGCATAGACTACATGGTACTTAAGAAAGTTAAGGTTTTATGTTACTATGACCATAGACAAATAGAATTAAATATAGACCAACTGCAGTGCTGCGGTTAGCATAAGTTCTGGCGTCCATCGCTAGGAGCGCCGTGTAGTTAAGGGGCACTCGCTACGTAACTACATGGCCCTCCTAGCAGTGGATGCCGGAACCTATGCAAACCGCAGCACAGCTGTTTTATATTTAATTCTATTTGTCTGTGCTATGACTATTATAAACAACACCTTTCAACACACACTTTAAGAAACACTCTAATAAAACACATTATTAAGCCATTAATGTTTGTGAGTGTTTGTATATGTGATAAGAACAGTGCTCAATAATTTAGTTGTGCCACAAACAATATTTACTGGGTCAAAAACTTACACATACCGAATATTGCAATTATTTAGAATGATTTACTTCAAAATGTGTTTACTTACTGTTATTTAAAAGATAAAAATAAAACAAATAAATGCATGGACATAAAAATAGTGAATAATGTAATAGTATCGAATGTAAGTACCTTAGAGACTGTTAGATTTTCTTTACGTTTTTTTTCCTTTTTTTTAATTAATATGATACTAACAATAACAAAAACTGTTTATAAACACAAAATAGTTCTATTTTCTTGAATTTATTGGTGAGCTTTTTTGAAATACTCTGTTGAATAAACATTCATCTATATGCTAAGGTCAGAGCAACACATGAAACGATGTTTTCCATTGAAATTTTCAGAAAGCAAAAGATGTTTACACGACTAAAATACTGTGTTCATTTTTAGTTCACTGATAAATTCCGCACGAAATACATCATGGATATTTCAAGACACCTGCACAAATGATTCCAGAAAGTTTCTGATTCTTTGTACAGTGTAAATCTCTCGATTTTAAGAAAGTGTTAGTTTAAGACAAAAACAAACACATAAACATTTAAGAAACCTAAGGAGTTTAACTGTATACAAAACACAGAGAAACTATTTTGTTTTACCGTTCTTCTTTGTGATAGTTTCAAGCACTTTATTTTTAACTTAAAGCAAAACCTTCTACCCACTTAAAACATTTCATTCTCTTCTTCAAGAACAACAGGCACCTCAGTCGCAAAAT